ATAGCATTCACTTGTACATGGGAAAAAAAAGAAAGCTTAGTGCCAGTGGCTCATGCCTGTAATCCTAACTACTCAGGAACTGAGATCCGAGGATCACAGTTTAAAGCCAGTCTGTGCAGGAAAGTCTGTGACACTCTTTTCTCCAATTAACCACCAGAAAATCATAATTGGAGCTTTGGCTCCAAGTGGTAGAGTGCTGGCTTTGAGCAAAAAATCTCAGGCACAGCACCCAGACCCTGAGTTCAAGCCCACAATTGACCAAAAAAAAAAAAAGCAGGTGGGCCCTATTACTGGGGAGGTTGCAGCAGGAAGATTACTTAAATCCAGGCTGAGCAACATACAAGAGCTTGTTGAGGATAGAGGAAGAGACTGAGGGCTAGAGAGTGAGACAGAGGGACAGACAGACAGAAGCAGAAAGCAAGGAAAGAAGGAGCGAGGAAGAAAGAGAAAGTATAGAAGGGAAAAAGGAAGAAGAAAGTATGTGTGTGGGAAGACAACTATTAATGCATGGGTGATTTGTAAATTAATACTCCACAATTTCACCATAACCGTTCCGTGTGGGTGTGAATGTTCAATGTCTGTGTCACATCCTGATGTCTACAGGCCCTGGCTTACTTGAAAAATTTCATACACTTAGACATTAGGACATTTCCAATTTTGCACAACCATTTTTATAAAGGGGGGGTATTTCTTTCTCACTTTCCCCCCTTAATTTGTAGCTTTTTTTTTTTTTTTTTAAGAATAGACTTACCAGAAGTGAAGCCATGGAATCCAATGGGAAGAACGTTTTTGTTGGTCTTTCTTGTGTATTATCAAATTGCACCTTTTTACCAGCTTGTCTTTGTTGGTGCTGTGCAGGCCTTACTCCAGACCGGCTAACCTTGCTTTGTGAATCTGACTGCTTTGCACTTTGTGGGCCCTGGGAGATCTTGTGCTGAGGGATCCTCCTAGCTGCTCTATCCCCAAGGCCCTAGTCCCTTTCTGGGCAGCTTAGGCCTCAAATTAGCCAGGCAGAGGCAGGGAGAGGGTTGCTAACCTCAGCATGACTTTCCAGAACACGGATTATGCTGCTGGGCCTGATTGTGGGCAAGAGCGCCCCCTGCAGCTGGTATGAAGAACTTCCTGTACTGAGACCTGGCCTATACCTCCTCCCACCACACTCCTCAGGCAGAGGACTGTGTGGTCCAGTGTGGGGATGGTACAAACTGAAACACATAATTGAAAGCGACATTGTGTGACAAGACAACCGATTATATTTATACTTTTTGAGAAAAAGAACCTGCTGGGCTAGTTTAATTTTGTCTCATATCTACCAGTCAAATCTTGTGCTTTGAAAATGTTCTGTCTTTGACATCAGTATTAGGACAATCTGTAAGTCTTCTTGGCACACAAATATAGCCAGTATTATTTTTAATAAAGGAACGTTTATTTAAAAGTGAAAGAAAATAGCAGGAACTCTCCATCTGGAAAGGAGAACTAAACAGGGCGGGATGGTGTCATTTACAAGAGCAGATATTGACAATTAGTTCATCGCATAGTGCCAAATCCCCGCTTCTGAGTTATAGTGGCTTACCCTATCTTCTGTAATAAAATTGGGTGTTGTGAGTTGTTGTAGGTAGACTCTCTAAAGCCAAAGCACAGGCAGGGATCCTGCAGCCTTCCCTCTGTTTTTTCCATACAGAGTTAGCCTCTGAATGAGGAAGACATAAACTCATGCCCCAGTCCTGCCCCTTGTAAGCCTTATGACTTGGACTAAACCCCCTGGAGCCTCAACTTTCTCACTGGTAAAGTGGGATTTCTAACAGAATTCTCTCTGGGGATGTCAGCTTGGCAGGTACCTCACCTTTGCGGGGCCTTTGACAGAAGCAAAGAAGGAGGCCTTGCTAGCATTTCATCCTCTTTCCTTCCCACTGTGGCTTGTTCCACTCTATGGGGACACTAAAATTCACCCAAGAGTGCCCAGACCCCCCCCCCCAACAAAACCAGTGCAAAAAAAAAAAGAGAGCATGACTCAGTGGTAGAGTGCCTGCCTATCAAGCAGGAGGCCCTGAGTTCAAATCCAGTACCACCAAAAAGGAGAGAGAGAGAAGAGAGCTAGAGAAAGGAAGAAAGGGCAGAAGGAAGGAAGAAAAGGAATATGATAGAAATGAGGGAGAGTGAGTCAGGTGCATGTGGCTCATACCTGTAATCCTAGCTACCCAGGAGGCTGAGATCTGAGGATTAAGGTTTTAAACCAGCCTGGGCAAAGAAGTCCTTAAGACTCTTCTCTCCAACAGAGTACTCAAGGAAACAAAAACAGGGCTGGGAAGGTGGCTCAGTGGTAGAGCGCATGCCTTGCATGCTTGAGGCCCTGGGTTCGATTCCTCAGCAGCACATAAGCAGAAAAAAATGCCGGAAGTGGTGCTGTGGCTCAAGTGGTAGAGTGCTAGCCTTGAAAGGAAGAGCTCAGGGACAGTGCCCAGGCCCAGAGTTCAGGCCCCATGACCAAAAAAAGTAAGAAAGAGAGAGAGAGAGAGAGAGAGAGGAAAGAAAGGAAGAAAGAAAGAAAGGAAGGAAGGAAGAAAGAAAGACAGAAAGAAAGAAAGAAAGAAAATAAATGTAGGGTTGAGGCTGAGGGAGAAAAGTTCACTTGCTTGCAGGAGATAGGAGGGGCTACCCCTCCCCCCACCCCCCAACCTCATACACACACAATATGGCTGCCAACATCAGGATCCCAAGAAGCCTGAGAGCTCTCAGCCAGGTCTCTCAGAGATTTACAAACCAAAGTCTACAATGGGCTACAGTCCTACTAAAACCCCATTTTACCAGAGACCTACTAGGTACAAAGATGCTCTGCTGTAGTTTCCCCATACAGCCCTGTGAGATCCACTTTACAGAGTGGGAAACTGAGCTTCAAGAGGCTCAATGGTCAAGGTGACGTATGCAGGTGGGGTGCAGTGTCTGATGCCAAAAGAACACACCCTCCCCAATGCAGTGGAAGGCTGACTACACAGCTCCTGGGTGGTTCATGAAAGGAAACCTTTCCAGGGAGGCCTCAGCTTATTTCCAAACAGGATGATGACAGCAAGGATTAAAAAAAAAAAAAAGTTCCATACAAAATTAATCCTGCTCCTCCTTTTGCCAGTGGAGCCCAGCCCCATGGTGCATCCTGGAGCTGCCCTGGGACCTTGCAGAAGACTCCGTTCTCACCCTCGGTTGCCTGGCAGAGTCTAGTGGAGGACAGTGGGCTGGCTCAGGGCATGTTTGAGTTCCCTGCCTTCTGCTCTGTTCAGGGCTGCTACTGGATGCATGGATGGGAGGCTGGGATCTGTTCCCAATGCCAGCCTCCAGGGGCTTCAGCTTTCCTAGTCATCCATCTAGGAAATCATTTCTTAGCGAGTCTGCTTGGTAATTGTGCATGTACCTCCACTAGCTTCTACTTCCTGGTCCACATGTGCCAGGTCCTGCAGTCCAGACTGTTAGGAAAATGGAGGAGAAAGGAAAAGGCCAGACTCAGTCTCAACAGGGTAATACTGTTTATTATTGAGGTACCACAGCAAGGGGCAGCAACCTTCCCATGGGATCGGAGGTTGGAGTTGGGCTTTTATGGGATCTGAGCAAGGACATAGCGGTTATCAAAAAGGCCATTAGTGCTGGGGAGGCGGGGCCTTTCCGTTAGGATCACAATGGGATGTCCACACCAGGCTTAGATTGGATAGCCCTGTCGGCAAGTCATGCAGGTCCTGCACACCTGCGGTTTTGCCTGATGTCCATATGCACCTGGGATAATGGGTCAATCCTTCATATTCCATCTTCAGATTCATAAGAAGATTGGGCCAAGAAGGAAGAGGTTGGTACATCCTTCACTGACTGGCCCAAGTCAGTGACCCAGCAGGGCCACTAATACCTGCCATATGCTGGCTTGGGGATGTTTTCTAATTATACACAGACTCTCTTTGTGGTTGATTTGGTGCTCACATCCTACTAAACAGCTGCTTTTTCACAATCATGATGGTGGTGATGGTCATGATGATGATGTCAGTCACAAGGCTTGAATTCAGGGCCTGGGTGCTGACCCTGAATAATTTTGCTCAAGGCTAGCGCTCTACCACTTTGAGCCACAGCTCCTCTTCCGGTTTTCTGGTGGTTAATTGGAGATAAGAGTCTCATGGACTTTCCTGCCTTAGCTGGCTTTGAATCATAATCCTTAGATCTCAGCCTTCTGAGTAGCTAGGTTTACAGGTGTGAGCCACCAGCACCTGGCTTGTTTGGTTTTGGTGCTGGTCCTAGGCTTGAACTTAGGGCCTACGCACTGGCTAGAATTCTTTCATTTGAGTCACAGCTTCACTTCTGGCTTTTTGGTGGTTAATTGGAAATGAAAGTCTCATGGACTTTCCTGTCCAGGCTGGCTTTGAACTTCGATCCTCAGATCTTAGCCATCTGAAAAGTTAGGATTATAGGCACAAGCCTCTGGTGCCCAGTCCATAGTGAGGTATTCTGGGCTAACCCTAGGCCAGGGGAGCCAGGCTAAGTCTACAATGAGCTGCAGTCCTCCTAAAAAACCAGAGGCCTACTATGTACAAAGGTGCTCAGCTATAGTTTCCCCAAAGCAGATGCTGTGCCTAAAGTGGTCTTTTGGTAGTAATTTCAGAAAGCACTGATGGGGAATGAGGGTGTGGAGCAAGCAAGGCAGACATGTGAGTTAATGAGCAGGTGATGCCATGGGCGATTGGAGACTTCCAGGGCTACTGGAGACTTCTGTGACAAGTCTCACTATTGTCCCACTTGAGGGGAAGATGCTTGGTATTTATCTCCCAATTGGCTACTCCCAATTGGTTAAAGACTTCATGGGGCCATCTTGGAGTATTGTGAGGAAGCCTAGGCAGAGCAACCACACCTTATGGTAAGTAGCTCTGAACAAGAGGGGCAGGTGGGCAGGTCTAGGATCTGTACCAGCCAGCCCTGCTTGGTCTTGCTAGGTGAGGGGAACAATGCTCACCGGACAACCATGAATAAAAGTTTTATTGCTTCAAGCACTTTACACAAATGTCACCAACACCACATTTGGGCAAATATATAAAAAGCACAATTTATTGTACAATCCTTTCAACTTCTTGACTTATACACTGTACAGACTCTTTCCCACGGTCTCTCCCGGCATCGTGGGTGGGTTTCAGGCACAGCAGCTGCACTTGTCTGAGCCTCCTTTGCAAATGCAGCCCCGGGCACATTTGGCACAGCCTGGGGGACAGCAGGGACAGCAGCCTGAAAGAGTTAGAAGTTGGACAGATCAACACTCCAAGCACAAAGGCTTCAATCCATGATAGCAGAAACCCTGGGACAGAAGAGCTGGACAGGATCCCAGAGGTCATCTAGAGCTCATCAGAGGCTCATAGAGGGGGAAGGGTTTGCCAAGGCCACGGACAGCGGCAGGCAGATAAAAGAACAGAAGCCAGGGCTCATGGCTCCAGGCCAGTGCTGTATCTCCTTGGCTGCTAGACAGGATGAAACCTCGCCTCTGCTCCCTTTCTCTCCAAACATGTGGATGGCCTCATCCCTGAGCAGGCTGCCACCCTTGAGAGCTCTGTCCCAGGCCTCATTCCAGATCCCTCTCAAATGGGTAAAAGGTATCCAGAAATCTCTCCCTCACAATCGTGGCTGGATGGTGGAAGATGAAGGGTTGGGCCTTTCTCAGCTCCTAGCTGTGGTGTCCCCGGTCAGCATACTCACTTTTGCGACATGTTTTACAGTTACAAGTTGTACATTTGCAGTTGTCTCCGCAGATACAGATCCCTCCTAGAAGAGAGGACAAACGGCCTTAAGTATGAGGACAAGGATGGATGGACACATGGCTGGACTTCGCAGGGCAAGCTACTGGCAGCCCTAGGGAAGGGCTGGATGAGGGAGGGTCGATGCTGCTGAACATCTCCCGGGTCACACAGTTCCAGTCATAGGCCACAGATGGGAACAGGGATGGCTGTCTCAGCCCTACCTGGGATCCTTGTTAAAGTGTGCAGTCCTGGACCCAACCCTCGAGATAGTGTGATTCCTAAGTCTTAGTGGGACCAGGAGACATCCTGATGTACAATCAGGCCAGAAAAATCATTAGGCTAGTCCAACCCCAGCAAGTCAGGGTTCCTCTGGGAGCCATATAAGCCTTTTATGTCCTCTTTAGCCTGAATGGCGAGGAAGATGGGCAAAGACATAAGCAAGTTCAAAGTGAGAAAGCCAGGCCTCTTTCACTTCTGTTTTCATAATAGGAAAGCTGCTGGTTGAACTCAGGACCTGGACACTCTTAGCTTTTTTTTCTTAAGGCTGATGCTCTACCACTTGATTCACAGCTTCATTTCTGGTTTTTTTGGTGGTTAACTGGTAAGAATCTTACGAACTTTCCTTCCCCAGCCAGGAAGATCTCAACCTCCTGAATAACTAGGATTATAGGTGTGAGCCACCTGGCTGTGTTTTCTTTTGATTTTGTTTTTAAAAAACTCTTTCCATCCATCATTTTCAGTCTCAAAATGCTGGATGCTTTTGTCTCCTTTCTTAGTCTTTGGTCTAGGCATCTGGTCATGCAGCGCTGAGGATGAGGGAGGCTTGTAGGACTTATAATACCATTTCTAAAGACTTTGACCCCCTTCTTCTAAACAACATGCTTCTGTGAAGCAATCAGCATTAGAGACTCAGGGTCCACTAAGACTCTCCTGATGTCTGCATGTGCTTACCAATTTTTACATTTTCATAGCAAGCCTGGGATGTAGGCAGCTGGAAAAAATAAGTAACCTCAGTTTACAGATAAGGAAACTCAGGTCCAGAAATAAGACATCAATTTGCAAATAGCAGCAAAATGGATCAAAACCAAGTGACCAGGTTCTGGGCCAGCACCCTTTGTCCCATCCTGGTACTTGCTACTCAGGGCCTAGAATAGAAAGACCAAGATTTTCAGGTTCATTTCTCAGCCATTTCCTGAGTCAGGATTCCAGTAAATCAGGCTGGGAGCCAGCAGAGTGGGAGGCGCCTACCAATTGTATGTCTAGCATAAACCCACTGTTGATCCCAATTGGAGGAAAGAGAAGTTTCCCCCAGAGTCCTGCATGCTCATTATAGGATGTTTAGTACCAGGTTCCAGGATCTCAGGTAGGCATCCTTACTTACCAGACATACAGGTGCAATCCCCAGGGTCCATGGTCCAGGTGTGCTAGTGGCTCTGGTATTGTCAGGTCTGAGGAAGGGAGGCTGAAGCAGCAGTGGCTGGAGGCTCCTTATTTATAGTTGAGTAGGTGTGGGCTGCAACTCACCCCACCTCTCCCTGGGGCCAGACGCCCTGCACACGGCCCTGTTCAGAGGCTGCAAGCTGGGGGTGGGGAGAGCAAGCAAAAGAGGGCATGGAGCAGTAGTCATTTGGGTGGCTTTTCAAAAAGGGCTATACCCGCCCCACCTGCTCCCTGTCAAGTGTCAAGGAACTATGCTCAGATCCACAGCTTTGGGCATCAAGCCTTCTACTCCATTAACTGCCATTTCTGTCCCATCATTCAACTGGGCTGCTCCTACCCAGGCATTGAGCCTCATTCTCTCTTCCCTGGTTGGCCATAAAAGTCCTCACTGAGGGGTAGAAAATCAGAAGGATGTCTTCTCCTGGAGCCTTCAGCCTCTCATTATAGACATCCATGGAGTGATAGAAGTAAGAGAGGATTTGGGGGAGATTTAACTGGCTCAAAACCTCCATCCTAACCCCATTCTTGGATAAAAGCAGCATCTGCCTACCTTTCAGTCTTATGCAAAGTGCCTCAAATGACCCCAAAGATGTAGTCCTCATCCACTCCCATATAGAAATTCCATGGGTGTCTTTTTTGTTTGTTTGTTTTGTCTTAATTTGGTAGTGGTACTTAGATTTTGAACTCAGGGTCACGTTTCCCACTTGAGCCACACCTCCAGCTGCCTAGATGGAAATTCTGGAGCTATTTTAGACTTCTGCCACCCTCAGCTGGACACCTTCAGTGTCCCTTTAGTGCCATCAATAATTTTGCACATTCATCACGCCAGTTTGATTATGTGTGTGATTTTATTTATTTACTTACTTACTTACATACTTACTTATTTACTTACGGGGCTTGAACTCAGAGCCTGGGTACTGACCCTGAGCTGTTTTGCTCACGGCTAGCACTCCATTACTTTGAGTTCCACTTCTGGTTTTCTGGTGGTTAATTGGAGATAAGAGTCTCACTGACTTTCCTGCCCAGGCATTTCTAATATAATCCTCAGATCTCAGCTTCCTGAATAGGTAGGATTTCAGATGCTACCCACCAGCACCCACTGTGCTTGATTATATGTGTGTATGACTCTTTGTACAATTATTTGTATGAGATTGCTACTGACCTTCTGAATCCTAAGCTTTGTTTCTATTCCCCACTGATTATTTGTGTCCTTGGCTCTTACCTCCCTCACCACCCAGATCTGGAATCTCTCAGGCAGAAGTGTCCAAAACAACTGTCTATCTGCTCTGTCCCTTGCGTGAGAGGGGAGGTTGAGCGAATGAATGAGTGAGCTGAATAGTTTGAATGACTGGGGACATGGACAAGAAGGTAGGTGTGGAAATGAATAAAGGGGCAAATGATGGAGTGAATGATGACTAAACAGATGCATGAGTCTCCTGCCTGTGGCTCTACTGAGGACCTCTGCTGAGAAGTTGTAACCATTCAGACAAGACAAGCAAAATGCATCTTGGCCATAGCTGGTGCAGAGAGCTCCCCTAAGTTCTCAGCTTGGTGGGGTGTTCGTAGTCACCTCTAAGGCCCCCTCAACCAGCCTCAGTCTGACCTGTGGAACCATGGATCTGAGCTGGGAACTTCTAAAGAGAAGAAAAGAGACTGGGCATCATAGTGATCAGAAGGAAGCAATGGCAGACATTGGGGAAGAAGTTGTGCACTCTGTGTAATTCAGGGATGGCCCCTGATTTAAGCATGAATAGCCTCGTAGGGGTGGGGGCACTCATTAATCCTTCATCTTCTAAAAGCTGGGCACTGCTGGGTGCTGGAGAGCCGGCGGTGCCTGTAAACAAGAGAACAGAGTTTACAATTTAGAAGTTCAGTAGCAATCTCAGCCTAGGAAACCCATGAGTAGGTGTAGCTGCTCATGCAGCCTATCCCAGATCTGTCTTTGCAGCCTGCACCCTCAGCTCAGCCCAGACCATCTCCTGTGACAGAGCTAGAGTGCCCCAGATCTTGGTCATGCCCTCTAATAGGCATTCATGCCTTGAAGGGCCTGGTCCAACCAGTTAAGTGCAGGAAAAAAAAGGCTGTGCTCTTCACCTGTGTAAGCTGCCATGCCTCTCCTCACCACCTGTGCCAGCAATTGTCTCCTCCATGGCAGATTGACAGTATAATGCTGCTTAAAGCCCCAAATGAATGATAAGCTCAAAACTCAGTCATCTGATCAAATATTTCTCAATTTGGGGGCTGTGCAGAGGGAAAGCATGCATAGCAGCAGGCAGGTGATCCAGTTCAAGTTGAACTGGTCTAGTTCTCTTGCACAGGGTCTGAAAGGACACCCTTAAATCCATTCTCTTGTGCTGGCCATTTTCTGGGTCTTAGCTCTTGATCTCAGGATGGCAGCAGGAAATCAAGGACATGCCTTCACCCCAAGGACATGCAATTGCTGGAGGCACAGCTTTAAACTCTCATTTACAAAGTAAGTATTTCCTAGGAGAACTCTAGTGGGATTTGAGGGGCCCTTTGGAAGGCCCTTTAGACCTTCTTCCTAGGTTAAAAATGATATGCGGGGAGGTGGGGTGGGGGTGGGGGTGGGAATGTGGCTTAGTGGTAGAGTACTTGCCTAGAATGCATGAAGCCAGAAGTGGCGCTGTGGCTCAAGTGGTAAAGTGCTAGCTTTGAGCAAAAGAAGTTCAGGGGCATTGCCCAGGCCCTGAGTTTAAGCCCCATGGTGGCTGACACATATAGTCCTAGCTACTCAGAAGGCTGAGATCTCAGAATCATAGTTCTAGAGCAGTCCTGGCAGGAAAAACAAAACAAAATGAAACAACTCTAGCTACAATTAACCATTAAGAAACTGGACTGGAGGTGTAGGTCCACTGGTAGAGTACCTGCCATGAACAGAAAAGTCAAAGATGCAAGAACATAAGGCCCTGAATACAAGCCCTGGTAGTGGCACACAAAAACATGGTAATTTTAAAAATCTGATCTGGGCACCGGTGGCTCACACATGTAATTCTAGCTACTCAAGAGGCTGAGATCTGAGGATCGCGGTTCAAAGCCAGCCCAGGCAGGAAAATCCATGAGACTTTTATCTCCAATTAACCACCAGAAAACCAGAAGTGGTACTGTGACTCAAGTGGTAGAGTGTTTGCCTTGAGCTGAAGAGCTGAGGGACAGCGCCCAGGCCCAGAGTTCAGGCCCCACAAACAGTGGGCAGGGGGGTGGGGGGGCCCGGGGTGCGGAAAGTCTGAGCAAGGTGTTGGTGGCTCATGCCTCTAATCCCAGCTAGTCAGAAGGCTGAGATCTGAGGATCATGGTTTGAAGCCAGGTTGGCAGAAAAGTCTGTGAGATTCTTATTTACAAACAATCTGGTAGTGGAGCTGTGGCTCAAATGGTAGGACACTAGCCTTGAGCACAAAAACTCAAGGCTAGCATCCAGGCCCTGAGTTCAAACCCCAGGAATGGCAATAACAACAAAAATCTGTAGCCAGTTGTTCACACCTGTAATCCTAACCACTCAGGGTGCTAAGAGTGGAAAGATCCTGATTCAAGGCTAAATCAGAAAAGTTTGAGAACCCCCATCTTAAAAATAACCAGCAAAAAACTGGGTTGGAGGCATGATTTAAATGGTAGAGTGCCAGCCTAGCAAGTGTGAGGCTCTGTTAAAAAAAAAAAAGAAAGAAAGAAAGAAACCAGCACTAAAAAAAAAAAAAAAAAAGGCAAAACAAAGCACAAACACAAATCAATTTGCCCATAAGTTGAAGAGTGATGCTGTTGATTTTCACTGTTGATTCCCTGAGGAGTCCAGAGTGAAGAATCCTGTGAAAAGAACTTTCCTCCTTCAAGTCACCAAGTCCTGAATATCACCTTCCCCAGATATGACCTCTACTTCATGCATAAGTACATTTAAGAGATTTTCTCCCAACAAAGAAACTGGTTGTTCCAAAGAGCTTTAATGCCCCACCTCTTACACAACCTAGTGGTAGAGATTTTGTTTCTCCTCCCCTTCTCTGTGCTAACCTAAGCACAGGCTACCCTGTGTCTAGCAGCTGAGTGCACAATCTTTCAAGGACTATGGCGTAGATAGGGTCAGCATTGCACCATGCAATGATAGCAGAGAAAGACCTAGTGCCCTGACATTATACCCCACTCGGATAATCACCACCCTTCCCCATATAGGACCCTCTTGCTCTACAAGTTCCTGGGAGCAAGCAGGAGCCCTTGATTTATTATGTTGGCAGGTTAAGCTGGTTCCAACAATTGAGTTAAGTTCAATTGCTAAGTGTCCAAAAACTGAGGTTGTGAGGGTGTTTTTTTTTTTTTTAATTTGTTTTTCCTTCTTTTTCTTTTTGGTGGTACTGGGGCACCTCGTATTTTCTAGACAGACACTCACCACTTAAGCCTTGATACTTTCAGCCTTTTTTTTTTTTAAATGTGTGTTCCAGTAATGGGGCTTGAACTCAGGAGTTGAGCACACTCCCATTGGTGCCCAGTTAGTCCTTCTTTTCTTTTTTAAAATCTACTTATTTTGTTAGGTAGGGTCTTGAGCATTTTGTCTCTGGCAAATCTGACTGGACCTTCCTTCCTAGATGGGATTACAGGTGTATACCACTAGGTCTAGTCTGAGACTGTAGTATCTTAAATCTCCATTTTAGCTAGGCCAAGCATGCTGAGTGCTACCACACAGTTGGTAATCAATAAATATTTATGAGCTGATGGTAAATAATGGCTCAATTAACCAAATGACATCTGGGCAGTGGGTGATTTAGAGGAACTGGTTACTCACTGGGATGAGCCAAGAGTTTGAATTCAGAGTCCCACTAACTGGTTTCAGATCCCATCTCTGTTCTTTTCTTTGCTGCAGGACCAGAAGCACATTGCTTGACCTCTTTGACCCAATCTGCAAGTAAAAATGTTGTGCAGAACACACATATAGCACCATGCTTAGACTAATGAGTTTCACTTAATTTATTCAAACACTCCATATATAACCCACACCAATAACTAACTCTTATGCCTAATTCTACTAAG